TCAGCGTCTTAACTTTACTAATATGAGCTTCATGTAACCCATGGCTTTAGCCCCCAGTGGCCGGGCCATCTTGGGTTGAGTCACAATTCAAAAACCCTAGTTTTATCCCACTATAAAATACTAAAGAAGCCTGCTTTCGAATCTCTAGTAGGGTTTCCTCGTCGACAGCAGAAATGGTAAGTACCCATGAACTGCCGCTTCGTGCTTATGTGCTTGAATTGATGTTGATGATTGTGTTGATGGTAATGGCAGGGGAAAGGAACAGGGAGCTTTGGTAAGAGGAGAAACAAGACCCATACTCTCTGCGTTCGATGCGGTCGCCGAAGCTTTCATCTCCAGAAGAGCCGCTGTGCCGCTTGTGGCTTTCCCGCCAGTCGCACCCGTAAATGTATATAAAAGTTCTTATTTTTCTTATTTTTCATTGTATTATGTTCTCTATTTCTTTTTCTGATTTAAAATTTATGTTAGTTTCTCTCTTCATGCGATTTGGTTTCTGGGTTTGCTGTTTGGGAATCCACCGTGTCATTTTATTTGGTATAATGTAGCTCTAGTTGACTTTCTTTTCATTGGGAAAATTAGGGGGTCAGGATGGTTTGAAATCTCAATTTTCTGTGATCTGTTCTGGGTGGGATACGTTTGGGTTAGTTGTTTCCTTGATGGTTTGTTTGGATGCTTGGAAATTGTGGGTGAATCTCTTGTTGGTAACTCAGTTTGGATCTGTCTATAGTGCTCCCAATGAATGTGCTGTTGAGTTTTCTAAGTGCAGTTAAGATGGTGTCTGGGATTGCTTCTTTTTTGGTGCTCATAAGCAGTTTAGCTCAACCATATTTAATAATATAAGAAAGGGTTTTTAGTCTTTTTGATATTTCTTAAAATTAGCAGGATACATTTATTAGTTTTATAATATAACTTCTTATTCTTTACCGTCAGCACTTTGTTCATAAAGGGAACCTTTTAAAAAATTTAAGTGATGTCAGTAGTTTAAAGTACCCTACACCCTCCGAATAAGATTTTTGGAATATGCTTAATTTTGGTTTTATCAATAGATAGCTAGCATTAGTTCTTAATTCAATCTTGAGTCATATACTATAGTTTTACTCCAATGGCTATCGCATGTATGTAGCTTAAAGTACTCTACAACCTCCAAATAAGATTTTCTAGGTAACATGCTTTAATTTTGGTTTTATCAATAGATTGCTAGCATTAGTTTTTTAAAAAAAATAAAAAATGAAAGTGTTATTATTCACAATGATACTAAGGGATTACCACCCAATTACATACTATTTACATATCAATTAGATGGTGAATAACACATCCCAAGTCATCCCATTCTAATATGTCATGATCCAACAAAATGGAACCAAAAGTATGAAACCATCTATTTTTTATGTTTATAAAGTCCATTTCAATACCCTCGAATGCTCTAACATTCAACTCTTTCCACACAACCCAAAAAATGGTAAGTGGAATAAAAAATAAATATGTTTTGTTTTTACAAAATCTTGTCCAAGCCCACAATTCTTTACTTATATTACCCGCCATAACCCATCTCATCCCCAACAATCCGAACACTGACATCCATAAGTTATGAGTAACCGGGCAAAATAATAAAATGTAGTCTCATGTCTCCTCATCAGCCTTGCATAAGTAACATCGATTAACAAGAATGTTGCCTCGCCTCTTTAACATGTCAATAGTCAAAGTACTTCCTCTTGAGGCTTCCCAAGCAAAGAAAGTCATCCTAGCTGAGCTGCAATTTTTCAGATTTGTCTAAATGGAGCTGCCATATTATTCCCATTGTCCCCTTTGGATATAAAATTGTAACACGACTTCACCAAAAACCCATTCTTCTCATCCAACTTCCATATCCTCCTATACTTTTGATTATCCATGTTAATTTCTGCCACTCATTGAGTAAATTGCATATTCATCAATTTCCCAATCCTGCAAGTTCATTCTAAAC